ACCTTCATAAACATATCCTTGATTTATTTTATAATGGGACAAGTCTTGGCTTAATATAATCCAGAAATGGCTCCTCTATTTGGTTTTGGATGGCCTTTTCTTCCTCTATATTTCTCATTTCCAATTGTAACATTTTGTGTAAGGTAACTCGTTTTCTTGCTAAATTCAACATGGAAGGTCTAGCTTGCACATGGTTATTCTGCTATGAAGCCATCAAGTGTGATTTATGCCAACACCTGCCATTTGTAAATTATCCTTTGTGTGAAGCATTTGGAACTAAAGTGACAAAGCCAGGCATGTAGACCTTTCTTTCAATTACTGTCATTGCTCATTTGTTAGTTTTGTGGTTTTGTTGCTTTTCTCTTAACATATTCCTTTCTTTACCCATAGCTCAGGAGAGATATAGAAACTAGGCTAGTGGAACATCAGACTGATAAATGTTTGACTATAAGAAGTAGAAAACATTGCATACAGTCAGACCCTGCTTAGATTAGTTTTACTGCAGAAGTACAGTGAGCTACTTGTAGACCCCCAGTAATCAAGTTGTGCTGTCTCAGACTTCCTTAGATATCTGTAGGGGAACCTGTAGCCATGCCTGCTTAGGGGCTGGCTACAGGTCTGCCTGACCACTCCTGCAGGCATGGTCAGGGTGATGTAGAGGTTGAGGTTCAGGGCTGAGTTTCACTTTCATTTCCCTTTCAGCTTTTGTCCAGCTGGCTAGCTCACTCTGTAAGTAAGGCTTTTCCCTATTAAATACCCTTATATTTCTACTTGGCTCTGTATTGGTAATTTCCCACTATATCTGGTGTCAGAAGTGGGATATTGGAAACCTACACCCCATTTGGGACAGGCTGTGGGCTCCACTGGGCCTGTGGCCTAGGTGGGGAAAGCTCCCTCTCTTCACAGGTGCTCCCGGATAGCAGCCGACCCGCTGCTGATGAGCTGCTCAGAACCGTCAGCCCAGCTTGGAGACTCGCACAGACCTCCTACGGTTTTACCACCATGCGCTCGGGACCAGCCCAGACTACGGCCTACCCGTGCCCAGAGGCCTCCAGCCCTTAAACAGAGTAGGCCTCTGGAGTAGGTCTCGGCTTTCAGCAGGGTTCATACAGTGGCCTTAAAGCCGCATCTTTTTAAATGGTTGAGCCACAAGGCCGTATACTCTCTAAGATAAGTGCAGCTGCTTTTGTGACCTCTCTCCACAGCTGCCACCAACCACTGCCAAACGCCACGTCGAGTAGCTGAACACCTGTGTCACCTGCTGGTCAAAGATAGTTACTGCATCTGGAGTAGAAATCAGGTAAAATTATGGCGGAATATTTATCATTTGCTAAAATTGGTAATATTTTTGCTTATTACATGAATTCAATGTTTGAGGAGGATTCTAATCTGCCAATTACTGGCCTATATGCCATAATGGCAGTTAGCCTGCTGGTACAAATAATATTATTAGCCAGAGGGCTCAGGAACTGGGATTATGATAACCTAACCACCTGCTTGCAGGAAATAACAGCTTTACGCAATGAGGTTTTAGAGAACAGATTAGGTCAGACCACAATTGTGCAACAAGTGGAACAGAAATTGGATGATATTTATGATAAGATAAACACAGAGAGAACCTCCATGTCTGAGGCCTTAGAGGCTGGGCTGTCAGAAGACCGTGACAAGCTAAAGAATATCTGTAGCCAACTAGAAACTCAGATAGGCACTGTTACCCAAAAACTAGATACAAAGGTACAAAATACCCAGGATAGGGTTGAAGAATTGGACAATGCCATTCAATCAATTATTGAAGCATC